GTCTGCCCTGCTTACATGTACATCATCTTTCTTTCACTAGCTGCTGTACTGCATGGAAAGTTCATCTTTAATTGCTCATCTATTGTGGCTTTTAAGTGTCTTTCTGAATCACCACCTCTCAAAACTACATCCTATTAAAAGAAAAAAAGTCTTCAGCAGAGTATATGCTGCAGTTAAAGAAAGATCAAGTCCTGATGTAGTGTTTTGAATAGAACTTAATATTAACTTACTTTTTTAACTTCTTCCCGGCTACCAGTGGACTTCTACCCCAGCTCTGAACTCTACCCTGCAACACTAAAACAAATGCCACAGCATGCAAAGAAATTGTGCTCACATCTACTGAGCAGGGAACATTTAGCTTTTTGTCATTCTTCCCCAACTAACCAGCCTTCTCTGCACATTTGCTTAACAAATGTCACTTGGTTCTGACAGGTGGCCCTTTTTCCCTCAAGAGGCTTATTGAAAATGTGTCAAATGCTTCTGAAGCTATTCACAAAAATAAAAGCAATTAAGAAACCTCCCTCCCTTTTTCCACTGGTAGTGGCGTACTGGAAAACTGCCAATTAGGAGCTTTGTAAAAAACAAAGTCCTTCATGCCTCTAGAAGCAGCGTTTTCTTCTTGTTATTGTTCCCAAACTGGTGGTTGTTCATTACTTTCTTCCTGCTTTTCTAGAAAGAAACCTCTTAAAAATTTACATCTTCCATCTTTGATTGAAAAGAAGAAAAAAATAATAATTAAGGTCAAAGATGCAGTTCAGCTTTTTCGAAGGTAAGGCCTAGGAGAAGCTCCTGAATCAAAAAGCTGTCAGGTTGTGCCAGTTGCTGGTTATAAAGCTTTGAGGTCCTCTGCCTTATTTCTAAAGGAAACCCACTGCTCAAAATGACAAAACATCATATTTGATCAACACAGTCAGTTATTAAAGAAAAACAATAATTCCTGCAGTCAGAATTGTGACGGATTTTTATTAGGATTGTTAACACGTTGATCAGAGTTCATGTACTACCACTTCACTTTTATCTTAAGAGACAAAAGTGCCTTTACATGTATAATGTAACCTTTTAAAGTTGCCCTACTAGTCAGTCATTCAGGAGATCTCTTAATGCTAGAAGACTTGAATAATCCTGTACAACTATAACCCAAATACGTTGTTTGATTTTACTTATTTACTTTACCTATTTTAGAAGGAAATAGCGTTTCATCATCCAGCTGATCCTGGACCCAAGTCATCAGGTAATCAATGTACTTTGGTGCAGAGCACTTAATTGGTTTCTTTATGTTTGTCCCATCTGCCCAGTGGTACTCATATCTGGGTTGGGACAACAACAAGAAGACATTGCTTAACACAAGTGAATCATTCATGTCAAGGCCTGCAAGGCTGCTCATCCTGCTCTGCTCCCCATGCTCCCATACCCTTCCACAGCCCTTCCAAGAAATAAGGCCCAAATGCTCCCGAGTCATCTGCAGATACTCTGTGCCCCATCTCCCCCCTGCGACCCTGTTTGAGCTGGACTCTCTTGACATTCTGTGGAGTCTCCAAAACCTTCATACTTCATAGTACAGCTCATTCCTCCTTGCTTGCAACACATCACAAGGTGCTGTATGAGCAGGCTGCCAAACCCTGGGAAGGCCAACAGCTACTTACTCTTTTTAAAAGCTTTTGACTGTTGATTTCCCCTCCAACACAAAAACATTACAGCCTATTGAAGTGAAACATCAGAAAGTTACTTGAGATTCTCATGCCAACAAAAGCTAAGCTCCAGGGCTCAAATCAGTACCAACTGATTTCTAATGACATTTCCCCCAGTCAGGTAAAGCGGTGGGTTCCACTTCCACCCCACACCTTCAGCAGCTACCAGCCAGACACATTAGACTCCTAAAATTTATAGAATTCTTTAGATTTGAAAATATTATTCTAGATTTTGCATAAATTTAGACCAAACTGCCCTGGCTCTTGCCAAAAATCCCAAATTATGACTGTATTAGAGACATGGAATAGATTCATAAGTAGGTTAAAACCAAGGAATACTACTACAAAACTGGACAGTGGCATAAGGTGCCTTTCAGCTAACAAAAAAGCTTTGAACCCAAATAGTCCTCGTTCACATCTGAAGGTCTAGAGCTACCATGCAGCACATCAAGATTCAGAAAAATCTCAGTTTCCAGTTATACCATTGACCCAGTTGATAGTTGCAGGCCAGTAACTGCCTTTTAGCTTCATTTTTCTACCCTTAGACAAGGTGATATCACACCTTGACAAACCACTGACCTAACAACAAAATAGTCAAATGTGTGCTCTTTTTATCCTTTTCAAGGAGATAATTATCCTGACAGCTTTCTATGTAGCACATTTAAGCAACTTGACACAAGCAGCCAGTGTGTGCAGGAGCTCAGAAACCAACCACATCCTGGGCTGCATCAAGAGGCAGAGCCATCAGGGCCAGGGAAGAGATTCTGCCCCTCTGCTCTGGTGAGACCTCACCTGGAGTGCTGTGTCCAGCTCTGGAGCCCTCAGCACAAGAGGGACATGGAGCTGTTGAAGAGGGTCCAGAGAAGGGCACCAAAGACAATTAAAGAGCTGGAGCAGCTCTGCTCTGGAGACAGGCTGGGAGAGGTGGGGCTGTTCAGCTTGGAGAAGAGAAGGCTCCAGGGAGACCTTAGAGCACCTTCCAGTGCCTGAAGGGGCTCCAGGAAAGCTGGGGAGGGACTTGGGACAAGGGCAGGGAGTGGTAGGACATGGGGGAATGGATTAACACTAGGCCGAGGGAGACTGAGGTTAGATTTACGAAAAAACTCTTTAGTGTGAGGGTGGTGAGACCCTGACCCAGGTTGCCCAGAAAAGCTGTGGAAGATCCATCCCTGGAAATATTCAAGGGCAGGTTGGATGGGGCTTGGAGCAACCTGTGCTAGTGGGACGTGTTCCTGTTCATAGCAGGGAGGTTGGAACCCGATGATCTTGAAGGTCCCTTCCAACCCAAAACAGTTCATGATTCCATGACTTGTGTCAGTGGTATTCCCCAAGCCAATCAAAATAGCTATTCCATTCTGATTTATGAAGACTTGTTTCTGTCTGGTTGGACATGTAAATGGATCCTGTTTGATTCATTTTTCCATGCTTATGAAAGTCCTTAAGTTAAAACAGTAACTGTGAAATGAATGACACCGGAATCGTCTCATTAATCATAGAACCCCAGACTGGTTTGGGTTGGAAGGGAACTTCAAGATCATCAGGATCCAACCTCCCTGCTATGAGCAGGGACACCTCCCACCAGCCCAGGCTGCACAAGCCTCATCCAACCTGGCCTTGAACACCTCCAGGGATGGGGCATCCACAGCTTCCTTGGGCAACCTATTCCAGTGCCTTCCTACCCTCATGGTGAAGAATTTCCTCCTGATGTCTACCCTAAGTCTCCCCTCTTCCAGTTTAAAACCATCAACCCTTGTCCTGTCACTGCCCTCTCTGGTGAAAAGTCCCTCCCCAGCTTTCCTGGAGCCCCTTCAGGCACTGCAAGGTTCTCTAAGGTCTCCCTGGAGCCTTCTCTTCTGCAGGCTGAACACCCCAACTCTCTCAAGTCCAGACACCAGATAAAAAGGCTAATCTTGGGAATACAGAGCTTAAAACAAACATCAAACACTTATCACTGGGAGTCTGACAAGATCAGCTTTCAAGCAAACCAGTGTTTTTTTCCACATCTTGCTGAATACAAATGCATGCAGGTTGATCTTCCCTGCCAATCAGGAACATCTGAGCAGTTCCTGCTCCTCAGCACAGAGCCATTCATCTCTCTTTCTTTCAGATCCCAACACAATGAGTTTGAAACCCCCAAGCCTTTCTCAGCCTCCAGCACTGCTGTACAACAGCCCATGGGGCCAGCCTGCTGCAAAGCCAGAGCAAAAAGGACTGCTGAGCTCTGAAATCCTCCCAGAGAAACCCACCAGGCATCCTTCAGACCAGCTGCAACACTCCTCTTTTAAAAAAATCCAACTTTAGCAAACCCAAACACCAAAGCAAAACATACAAAGAGAGTGATGTCAGCTCAGTCATGCTTTTACAGGAAACACACCCACTTCACCTACAACTTTTATTTCAGGTCTTTTTAAAAGAATTGGAAGGAAATGCTATTAATGGCTAACATTTCTTACTTTCATGGAGGACAGCATGCTCAATTGATTGCTACTTCTTAGTACATTGGTAGCACCACCTCCGTGCCTGGGCTGCAGCCAGCACTGTGTGAACTCTCTCTTGCTGTCTCAAATTAGTACTGGGTGGACACTGGAGAAAAATCCTCTACTTTTAAGATCGTACCCATCAGTGTGTGCAAAGCTTAACTGTATCTTATCAGCCTTGCTTCTCATTTTAACAAATGCAGTTTTGTCAGAACAGAACCAGAGCAACATTTTCACAAAAACCAAATTTTGTTTAGCTGGTCATGGAATCATAGAATGGTGAAGGTTGGAAGGGACCTTCAAGATCATCAGGATCCAACCTCCCTGCTATGAGCAGGGACACCTCCCACCAGCCCAGGCTGCACAAGCCTCATCCAACCTGGCCTTGAACACCTCCAGGGAGGGGTGTCACGGTTTGACTCAGGTCCGACAACAATGCTCTTGATCCCCTCCCCCCCACACACAGGTAGGGAAGGAGAGAGAGAAAAAGAGAGAGACTTGGCTGGATTGAAAACTAAACTACACAGTTTTAATTAAAACACTAATGAATGATACAAGAAAATATATACAATTATATACAGATATATTCAGGTATGGGCAAAAGCCTCTCGCCTCCCCCCACCCCAGCAACTCCCACAGCACTTCCCTGAACTGGGAAGAGTCCCGAGGAATCCCGGAGCTGCTG